AGCAAATGCAACCTTAGATTCTAAGCCATGCTTTTTCACCTCTAGATTTTAAAAAGATTTAGTAACCTTGCAGACGAATGCAGATATAAAAGTTTGGCAGTTGTGTCTCAAGATGGAAAGAAAAGTGTGAAATCAGACATGAAAAAACCTATTAAAACTTTCAAAAGTCTATTTAGATTTCCATATGAGACATGAGACAATAAAATATCATCCACAAAGTTCATTCGAGATTAAATGAAAAGCAGAGGGCATTTTCAGGTCTCTTCAGCAAGCCCTCCTCCCCCTCAAAAAAATAAGTAATTGTATCAAAAGTGAAATGAACATTTTAAATTTTTGTTTTTCATCCATGCTTACTCACATTACGAACTCTTGTTTTTAACTTCCAAATGTGTGTTATATAATCTTACTACTTTGTTTTAATAGTGGTTAAAGATTAACCTCACAGTGACTGGCATATTAAACCACATCATGCAAACTAATGAGATTATTTTCTTTACACTATGCAAATCTAAATATAAAGTATTATCAAAGTAGTTTTTCCTTTAAAAGATTCTGGTGTTAAACAAAATGAAGAATATGATAATACAAAATTTATTCTATAACATAAAATATTATTGAAAAACTAACTATATATATGTAACTATATACTTTTATCTCTCTGTATAAAACTATGGAGAACTGGTGGCACGGTGGTTAAGAGCTCACCCGCTAACCAAAAGGTTGGCAGTTCGAATCCACCAGCCGCTCCGTGGAAACCCTATGGGGCAGTTCTACTCTGTCCTATAGGGTTGCTATGAGTCGGAATTGACTCGATGGCAATGGGTTTTATAGAAAACTATATATTATTTTCACACTAGAAATATTTTCATAAAAGGAGTAGGGGTTATCTTAACTATATCATACTGCCCAGAAAAAACGTGATTTAACCCAACGAGACGCAATACTGAAGTCAGAAAAATGAATTTCCACAAACCATCTTCAACATTGTGCACACAATTTTGGGAAACAAAAAGACAAATAAATAAAACCTAGTTGTCATTAATATGAATGTACCCTTTTAACGCCGTTTTGAATTCACACACTTATGCAATTTTCTCAGCAATTTACATATGAGAATTTCTCAAGTATGCACATTTATTGCCAGAGCCAAAATAAAAGGTCAAATAAACCAAAGTGATAGAGTGGATTTAAAATGGCCTCTGAGGATCAATTAATACCTTACAAATGTTTATTAAGCACTCACTTAATTGCTTCTTAACTACACTGTACTTATACTGTAATGAAGATTAATAAACCTTGAACTGGTTACAGTTATTTGTTTTAAGAAATAGAAGCCTTCAATATCATACATGGGATAACTTAACATTAGTACACTATGGTATTACGTTTCAATCCTTATAGGGAAGAAAATGACACTAAAAAGCTATCTCCATTTAATTTCCATGTTCAAAATGCTGTACAGTTATTTTAAATGATATCCACTCATTTTAAGTGAAATTACTTCTAATGTACATAGATAAGGTTAATTAAACAAAATAAAGACAAAACATAATAATAATACCACAGGAGCCCATTGTACGGCATGAACTTTCAAATTGGAGAATAATTAATCATTCAAATGCTTTTTTGAATGTTATTATATAGAATGCAAATTCCTAGACAGTGTGGAAAGGCTGGCAGGAAGATTCAAGACAATCAGAAGTCACTTTTTCCAGATAAGCACACACTTACCCGACTGTGTTTAGAAAACAATTACTGAAATACAGTAGTTTTGAGCCAAGAAAATGCTTGATGCCAAATTCAGTTTTATTTACTGCTTAGATATTTCAGCTATAAAAAATTTCAATGTAGTTTATTTACCACCTGTGTTGGGGTAAATAATTATGTGAAAAGTTTTTTATATCTGTATTATAGTAATTGCAAAAGCGTTTGCCAGAAGTTCAGTACCCCAATTAGCTCGTCTTGCTAAGACATGTCATGGAATTACAAGCTTGTGGATGTCAACCATATGGTCATTCATGTGGAAGGTCCTGAGTTACTAACAGAAATAACAGTTCAATTTAGTTAAACAATAGGGTTGGAATAATCAAATTGGTTTTGTCTTTAAAAGAAAGTATAAAGTGATCCCATTAGAATTTTTAAAAGTGATCTGTATTATGTCAATGTCTTCTTCTCAGTGACCTTAGATACCTTAAAACTTAATTTAATCAGCTCGTAAGTCAATTATAAACTATGATTTCTTAAACAGTTTAAACAATTGCCCTATGTTAGCTCTTCAACCAGTCTGAGTTTTTGATGGCAGAGAATCTAGCTCTATCGTATTTGCTACTTACTTGGCATTGGGCCCAATATATGGCATGTGCTCAATTAAATTTATAT